ATGTGAAACAGATCGTCCAGGAGGCTGGGCGTCAGAATTTGAAGAAGACTCATCAACAAAGTATGAACGGGAGTCGTCTTGACGGCACATAACACCATAACAACAACAACATACATTATCACTTAATTTTCTTGAGGAATATTAAAACAACTTAGTGAAAATGTACATATTAAAACTGCTAATTTTAGAGGGGAAAGAATGAGAACCAAGGGATGAGGATGGGTAAGGGTGAAATCACAGTGTTGCACAATTTGGTGGGTGGAGGGAAGGAAATGAGAAAGATCCACTGAGCACCTGAGAAGACAGGGTAATGTTAGGTTTAGTCCAATGACAGTTAATTTTATAAAACATAATGTATAGGAATGGTTGTATGAAACACAATGTGAATGAAAAATAGTATAAAACACAATGTATACAAACTTTGTAAGCAAACCAACATAAAATAAAAATGAAAAAATCACCCCCCCAAAACCTACTAATATTTACAATCGCTTTTAATATAGAATATGTGCATTTAAACCAAGAATTTAGACATTTTTACACAGAAAGAAAAATTACAGTTCTTAGTTTTATAAATCTTTTTCTATTTTATCCTCTAAAATGTGTTTTAAAAGTCTATATCAATAAGATTATTATTGTAAACTCAACAGAGGTAAGCACTTTCTAAACTATAGGATTAGATGACTGTTAGGCTATGTTGGTCTGTGTTAGTTTTTTGGGTGTTTTTTTTTAAAACCAGTGAAATTGCAAGCTAGAACTTGAAGTTAAGTGGGCTAACACTATAATTTGATTCTTTTATGAACCATTCAATTGTTACCTTTTTCTTTCTGATTAAAGTTAGTGAAAATATGAGATAAAATATAATTTCATACATTTTTATGATGAAGAAAAGCATATGTACTGCTAATTGTGGGATAAAACATTGTTTCTATAATGAATGTTGTCATCATCCTCCTTAGCCTGGAATAATACCATGTCTTTGAAATGGTGATAACTTTGTTTATCTCGCTGTTTTTACATATCCAATTTTTAGGAACTATTGCTAATGAAATCGTACTGTTGAATTATGTGGTATACAAGTACTGTTGAGTGAGGAGTGGGATTGCTCTCAAAAGAATTGTTTTCTTTAAATCAGTGCAGTCTGTGTTGTTATTAGACAACCTTAGAAGTGGAGCCAATTATGAGAATATTCTGTCCTCCTTCACCTTAAGTCTCCTCAGGTTCCCAAAGAAGGTGGTCACTTTTGCTTTTAGTGACCTGACTATAAGATGGCTGTTCCCACCTTAAAGACCTAAATTACTAGGCTTTTGAAAATTCGAAATAGAAGGGTTTGCATTATTTTTCAGTAGTTTAGAATGCCTAAGAGAAATCCCAAATTTATCCCTAATTGTTGTTGTTGTTATGTGCCGTCGGGTCACTTGCAACTCATAGTGACCCTATGTATAATATAGGGTCCTGTGCCAAACTCATTGTCTCCAACACACTCATCCCGATTGCCCCAGTCACCGAATCAATCCATCTCCCAGAGGGCCTTCCCCTTCTGCACCCGCCCTCCACCCTCCCAAGCATGATGTCCCTCTCCAAGGAGCAGTCCCTCCTTACAACATGACCAAAGTATGTCAGACGAAGAAGCCTCAGAACCCTTGCCCCCAAGGAGCAGCCCGGTTTAACCCTCTCCAGGATGAATCTGTTTGTTTTCTTAGCAGTCCGTGGCACTCTCAGCACTTTTCTCCAACACCAAAGCTCAAAAGCATCAATTCTCCTTCTATCCTCCCTGGTCATTGTCCAGCTCTCTGATGCATGACAAGTGATTGCAAAGACTATGGCCTGTACCTGACTCACCTTAGACTCCAGAGACACA